AAAGCGATCGAGACAGCGAAGTCGATAAAGCCGGTGACAAGACGCCCAGTAAAATAAAAAATGAACGAAAAAGGCGACGCAGCGACAGTGATTGAAATATTTCAGTTTCTCTTCTAATGTTATATGCTTGAAGGGATAATCTTCTTTTATCTGTCTTCAAGATGAGGATCTCTTTCTGGAATTTCTTTGTTGTGGTTCTGAGTAGTGTTTATGACTTCTGTACAGTCTTGTCAAAGATTTGTTCATTTGATCTGGGTCAAATTTCATTTGTTTTCAGAGAGCCGTTAGATCATGTATTCATTCAGACTGCTCTGTTACGTGTTTATATTGTGAACGATGAACAAGATGTCAATGAATGTTTCTCTACAAAGTCATTTACATCATTAGACATGAGTGTTCATCTCAAGGTGTTTACAATTTGTTATCGTGTAATTCCTAAAAGTCTAGTAATGTACAGGAAGCTGGATGTTATCACGGCGTCTTAGTGCGTTATCCATTCGTAAAATATGCGGCAAGCAACTAGTTTATGCGGAATACGGAGATCCAGTTAAGGTAGTCTTCTTTGTCTAACTCAACTAGACCGCATTTAAGCGCTTTCAGGTGCTCAAGCTTCAAACAATTGATTTGCCTGACACTCCGCCAAGTGGACATGTACACGTGAAATGGATTGCATCTCCTATCAATCCTGCAGACTTAAACACACTTCAAGGAGTGTATCCCATAAAACCACCGCTTCCTGCTGTCGGTGGCAGTGAGGGTTTTGGACGAGTGGAGAAGGTGTGTTTCTTTGGGGAAATTCCTTTTTCTTATCTCAGGATCATTTGTAAAAGTAAAAAATGCACTTTACAACTGCGGATTGTGGTTTAAAACTCGGATGTGATTATAAGGGTGATAACATCAGTTCTTAAATTTGGTGCAGTAGAGCAGACCCTGGTGCGTGATCTATGTGCGCGCCACACTAAACATAGCACATGTTTGGTTTTTGCGGTCAGGTCCAGTTGGCCGGGTCTGTGCACAAAGATGTTAAC